TATTTTACAAATGATACAATTATATGGATGGGACTTAATTTTTCTAACCTGAGGTGCTACATATCAAAAATTTTGCACTTTCAGCAGCCTTTAAATGCATCCCACCTACTCGGCTAAGCTGAAAGCACCAGGTGTTCCAGAAATAGTAACCTTACAGGACATACAGAGGCATTAATGCTTCCTACTATGATAAAGTCATCTAGTTCTTTGTTAAGAACAGTGACTAGTAGCTAGGTGTCTAAATTTAGGTGTTTCTACATCACCACTGGAGGCAACACTGGGGCTGTCAGAAATATTCTTTTCCCTTTCCGCCTGAAGTATAATTGTCCCATAGCTCTGACCACATCTCTTAGATTTGCTTTCCTCCCATTAACATGTCTCCATTTCCCTTCTCTTCATTAAATTATTTAGTTTTCAGGCTCTATACCTAATGTAGGATGAGCCTCCTCTTCTCAGCCACAGTATATACTTCTGCTTCTAATAAAGAAACAAACAGGGAGAATGCCAATAGCAGAGGTTTAAAGAAAGAGTATAAAATCATAGCAAGTAAAAGAAGATCCTTCTCAGATCTGCTCCCAGAAACCAGTAGGTTTGAGTCTTCCTTCTCTAGAGACTGCATCTAGATATTTCATTGAATAAAACTGATGGACCTAACCTTCATGAGTTTGTCTAATTTCTTTTGAACTAGTTAACAGTTTTAGCATCCAAAGTGTCCTATGACAGCTGAGTTACAGAAGTTAAACATTGTGTGACAAAGTACTTTAAATCCTGCCACAGTTGCTCTATTAACTTTCTGCAAACTATTCATAATCTTATGTATCCGTCATGTCCCTTAACAATCTCTTTTTTAATTACAGGAAGTTATTTTTTTAAGTATCTGTCTCTATAAAGAAACTGTTCTATCCTTCTGATCATCCTTGGTTTTCGCTCTCTTTTTTTGCCCTATCCCTATTATATTGTTTGCTGGGGTGACTAGAACTGCGCACAATATTCAAAGATGTGTACACCATAGCTCTTTGGAAAGGTATACTGAGGTTTCACATTTTGATGTCTATTTCTTTCCTAATAATTTCTCTTTTTGAATGATGCTGAGCACTGGATTGATTTTTCATTGAACCATCCACAAAGATCGCTATCCCCTGACATGGGACATTTATACAGCCTCTTTTGGGTGATTCCCTGGTGTCAATAAGGCATGAGTTCACTGTCACTGTAGGCTTTGACAGACTATCCCTCTTCTATCTCTCTGCTAATTTTTAAGAAACTCAAGTGAACTGCACACTCTTTAAGACCTCCAGCCATATGGCTTGCTTTCTTAAAAAAAGGCCAGTGGTTTCAAATATTGAACAGGGTCAGATAGACAGGCTTGGGCATCATTGCATTAGTCTTATTCTCCCTTAAAAGCAAGGAAAAAATTAAGTTGGCCAGGTGGCATAGCCAAAGTCCTGGTTGAACAATAAAACAAACACCAAACATACAAACACTAAACACTAGCAGAAGTCTCTTGTTCTATAGTAATGAAAAATATGGAAGCTGAGAACGTGCAGGAGAAAAAGAGTAAGTCATTTAGTTTTGGATGTATAGTTACAAATCATGAAAACATGGCAGAGAGAATGACAGATGCATGTAATTGCAACAGAGGAAAAGCTGAAACACAGAGGTAGTATTATTAAAGTAAGAAGCAGAATGCAAGCCTTGAGATCAACCACACATAAAAGAAGATCAGAAAAGCAACAGAGTGTTGAAAAACATTGACAGCTAGAGACAAAACACAGCAGAGAAGGTAAAGAGGTGAAAAGATGGACTAAAGACACAGAAATAAGAAGATTGTGACCACTGACATAAAAGAATTACAGGGACATCAAAGAAACTGGAGGGCAAATTTTAAGCTCTGAAAGTTGGTTAAAACGAGGTCTCAGTAATTTGATGAAATCAATTTCAATGATGTATATATGGTAAAACCCAGGCTACATGAGTCAAGAGAAACTGAAAGATAATGGAGTCAGTATTCATGTACAATCCATTCAAAAGTTTTACCTGCACTGGTGACAAGGACTGAATGGAATTTGGATTGGCAGAAAAATTAAAAAAGAGACAGAGCAAGGAAAATAATTATTACTCTACTTTGACAGCAGATTCTAGATACAGTGATAAATACAGGGAGAAGTACAGTACAGTAAAGACTTTATCCTTTCCCTGCTTATGTCTTATCAAAAAGCATTATTCTTGCTCCCACATCAAGACAAATTATTTAAATTCCGTATTTGTTCTGAAGCTGAGCTGCCTAGAAAAGCCACCAAAGTAACATTCCTTGCAGTATTATGTTTATTTGTAATGATTTTACAGTGAAAAGTAACTTGCAGCACTTCATATAATTTTAATTATGTGAAGATAAAAGGGCAGTAAACTTTAGTTTAAATTTCTTAGCTGAAGCCTGTAATCTTAGGCAAATCTCTGACCAACTTCTTAAGCAATGTTTTCCTCCAAGAATTATAGGAATATTGTATTTTGACCAAAAAAATGAAAGAGAAAAGATTTTTATTTCCAAAAGTTAGCACATAGATCACATCTTTATAATTGCATATGCGTGCAAAAACATTACCTTAAAATGTGTACATAACCAATTTGTATATTCATTTACCCTGTTCACACATAATTGGCAAACATATCCTAATTCTTAACTGACTACGCTGTCACATGAAAACTACTCACAGAACATACTTTCTATTCTTACCAGTTCATTAACCAGAAGGACAGTGCAGTAACGTTTTTCCAGATTAAAGGGAAGAAAGTGAATATCTAAGCCTGCAGAACTTCTCCCTTCCAAGAACAGTTTTTCCACTGGACTGAAGAACTCATGCAGGAGGCTGGATTGGTCAGCTGTTAAAATAAGTTTAAATAGATGTTTAGATACAACAGCACAGGTTGTAAAATAATGTAGCTGCTTGAGTTTAAATGTAAGAATACTGTATACAGCCTCCTGTAGTAATCAGTGTTTAAGGCACACTTGTAATCAGTAATCAGTATTTACGGTTACACTTGAGTAAATGTGCTGCAATATTGCATGCTGTATTATTTAAATACATTTTGGTAACTACTTGTGTTCTTATCCTGTGCACTGAAACAAACTGGGGAAAACAGACAGTTCTCACCATCAAAAACACTCTTTAAGGATGTACAGCCTATAAGCAAATGACTCCTCCCACCAGAAAGAAGCGTACAGTTTACTAGTATTTAAACAAGCAATCTTGCTCTCAGTGGCAGTAACTATGTTACGTTATAGTCTGAAATCCTCCAGAATGGACAAAAACTAAATACTGGCAAGCTTGCTTTCTTTGCAATGTTTTCACAAAAGCATTATGCTGACAAAGTGCTTTCTTCTTAAGACACTAAGAATCTTAGGATTGAATCTAGCAGGGTCTGACTACTTTCTCACTGCATGTTTTTCATCTGCTGAGCACATTTTGATAATGCAGAATACTGTAGAACCGGACTTTCATTCAATCTTGGCTGGCTAACCTTCTAGGACGTTCAACAGACTTCAGAATAGAAGTGAAAGCGTGGGCAACAGAAATGAGTGAATATCACATTAAGAAACCTATGCCAAACTCTGACCAATTAAATAAAACTGATTCATCCCCCAAAACCACCAAGAACCAAGCTGAAGAAAGGCATAACCATCACCCACCTTTTCTTTCTGTAGTCCACATTCTTTTCCAATCAACATAGGAATTTCCCAATATTCACACTTCAACAAGCAGTTAAGTTTGATATGAATTTGATGTTTCCAAAGCCCACATAAACAATGACCAAAAAATGCTCCCCAAAACCACCAACAGGACCCAAGTCCCATTTTTACCCTTCCATCAAATAGGGTAAGGCAGGCCTAACAGGAACTAATTTTGACTAAATAAGGCACTAACTCCCAAACTTGTCTCCTGTTCGTGTTCCCCATTCAAAGTACGTCAAACCGTGGAGCAGACTAAATTAGTCTTTTGAGAGCCCTCCCTCCTTATTTTCTCTCTGGATTCTGTAAAATTAAAACAATTGCCAAAGAAGTAACATTTATTTTAAAAATTGGATTTTTTTTGACAGTTTTCTTCCTTTTTATTATGGCTGACAAAAAAAAAATCCTAATACCTATTACTCTCCACTTAGGACTCTTGACCTATCATAGCATATATTCTCTCAGGTCAGGGTGCAAAACATGTGCAGAACACTCTTATTTAGGTTTTGTTTACCATGTCATAGAGAGAATGATGGGGTGTTATTCCCAAAGCAGAAATGCACTTCTACAAGAAATGAAAACATAATTTTCTTTACAAAGACCTGAAATGCCATCAAAAATGTCTCTGTAGTTCCAATCTGACTGAAGCCATAAAAACCTTCATAAACTGTTCACAGGTTGGTACAATAGTTGTACCTCACTTCGTTACTTAAGGTACATACTTTTTATTTTTATGAACTGTGTATTAGTTGGTTGTTAATCACATCTCAGAATACAATATCAAATAATAAATATATCTAGAAGGGCTAGATTATTCAGATTACAAATATGCTTTCCATACGAATTCATGGAAACACAACAATATTTTCCAAGAGGACAAAATTAATTTCATAAGGCCATCGTACAAATTTTGCTCAAGTGGACTTTCAACAGCCTCAGAAAAGGCTGTAGTTCTAGATTCATATGTTTTGACAGAACTGTTGACTGACATTTCATAGAAAATAAGAGCAAGACACGTACAACCCCTGTTAATGAGTATTTTCAAAAATAAATTAGGCAAACTGCAAAGGCTTCACATCAGAATTCCATTATTTCTTCTTTTTTTTTAATGGTAAAGTCGTTAGAACTACAGTGCAACCTTAGAGTTCATTTCACTAAATGAAATGTATCAGAAGACAAACTATCCTATAAATGCGAGTTACTGAGCATACCCATAAATAATAATTACTTTAGATGTCTGTCCGGGTTTCGGCAGGGATAGTGTTAATTTTCTTCCTAGTAGCTGGTACAGTGCTGTGTTTTGGATTTAGGATGGGAACAAAGTTGATAACACACCGATGTTTTAGCTGTTGCTGAGCAGTGCTTGCACTAGTCAAGGACGGTCCAGCTTCCCATGCTCTACTGACTGAGAAGGCTGGAGGTGCACAAGAAGCTGGGAGGGGGCACAGCCAGGACAGCTGACCCAAACTGGCCCCAGGGACATTCCATACCATGTGACGTCATGCTCAGTACATAAACTGGGGAAAGCTGGCCGGGGGGGCCGCTGCTCGGGGACTGGCTGGGCATCGGTCGGCAGGTGGTGAGCATTTGTACTGTGCATCACTTGCTTTGTGTAGTAGTATTAGTATTATTATTATCATTTTATTTCAATTATTGAACTGTTTTTATCTCAACCCACAAGTTTTTCTCACTTTTCCCCTTCCAATTCTCTCCCCCATCCCACCGGGTGGGGGGGAGTGAGCGAGTGGCTGCGTGGGGCTCAGTTGCCAACTGAGGTTAAACCACGACAATGTCAAAAATCTTTCTTATGTAGATACTCTAATTTCTACTGTAGTGACACAAGAGGTATTGTACAGAGGTACTTACAGCAATTTAAGTTGTTCTCTTCATTTGGATCTTCAGGCAGTGCACCATTTTTACAATTTAATATGTTATTTTCAGAACTAAAAGGAAAAAATAAAAATGAAAGCAATACACTAAAGCTGGATATTTCTATTAGTAATAGATAGCTTCTTTTCCCTTTTTATGAATTAATACTGGAAAAGCAAATGTTTTCAAGAAAAAAAAACCCACACATTCTAGAACCATCTACCTACCAATAATGTTAAATATCACCTCTTTCACTTAAGTTAGTCATATTTACAGCAGAGTCAGAACATGCTCCCTTCAATTATCCTGTATAATATCTCTGCAGTACTCATATAAGCACAATTCCATGTTAAAAAAAAAATACAATATTTTGCCATTCAAAAGTACTACTGCCCAATAATGCTTTTGGGGGAAGTCAGTCCCAATTCTTCTCTTTATCATTTCAATGTTCTTTGGGGATAGGCAAAGAAGAATTGTTCCCTGGTACGTCATGAAGTGGCAAGGCCTTGCATTCCTCTGATGCTCTCACTTGTCTTCCTTTCAGTCTTTCCAATTTTTCCCCAAAAAACCACCCTATAAAAATACATCTAAATATCCGCAAACCAAATTCAGTTCAGATGCATTGTGCTCACTCTAGGACTTAAGATTCATAAACCTTGTGGACATGTCTTTAGACTGCTGCTTCTCACAGAAACTGATTTGCAAAAGTAGCAGTGTTTCCTTGCCCCTTATCAAAACACACTTCAGATACTAGATCTCCTCTTACCTAAACTTTTTTTTTAAGGCCCAATTTTTTTCTCTAGCTCTCTCTACCTTCTTTCTAGCTCAACAGTTTTCTCTTTTTAAAGAAGAGGTAAGCATTCTGCTTTATTCATGATAACTCAATTACCTTATCCAGGTACCATCCTGAGAGCTAATATCAACTTTTACCTGCCTACCTAGGGGTCAAAATACCTTTAACACAACATTAACATTTAGAAACAATAAAAATAATACATTTAAACTTAATTTTTTTTTTAATCATTAATTGTAATTCCTGGTTTATACTTTTATGTTATAGAACACTCGATTTTTTTTTTTTTTTGTTATATACACTTTTAGGCAAATATATGACATTTATTAGCTTATTTAGAAAACATATCAGCAGCTCATATATGTAAAAAAAGGGAATTATCTAGTAAATGAAGGTTCTAGCCTTTGGCTTTGGAAAGTCTGTTTATGTCTCCAGCGCTTTACTGGAGACCTTGGATACACTACTAAGCATTATGCCAGTCTCTGCTCTAAATTTTAGCTCTGTTTCTAATACCATCTGGAAAGGAACTCTGTCCAGTGAAGGGGAAATTCAGATTGTAACTGCTCAGCAATGGTAATTCGGAACCAAGGAACAACCTGGCATGGAGGGCAAGAAGGCCCAACTGGTTGGAAACAGGAATGTCAAAGACAGAACGACTCCCTGTAAGGGAGCAAAGTTTCCCTTGCTGAAGACATAAGAAATGACACAGCAGCATCTTGTAGCAATGGATCGTGGAATGCAAGTGCTCAGGAGCTGCTTTTGGTAGAGAGAGCTGGTGCTGAGGGATGAACCAAACACCGGGTTAAGGCACCTGATGCTGATGCTCACAGGATTGCTGTTGGCACAAGTGTATACAAGGAATCGGTTCATGTCGCATCTTTGCGGACTCCTTGTAGAACTGCCTATGGTGGTAGGTCTCTGCCCAATGATGTTTGTTCATTAAATCTTTATATTTAAGCACAAATCTGTATTTCATTTGACTCAAGGGGTACAATAAAAATTCCCCAACACCAGTTCAACAAATTAAGCTAACAAATCCCTTCTTTTGTTTCCTTGCTTAGGCCTGGAGAAATACAGGAAATCCAACTCCTGTGTAGAGCTCCGCTGTTTTCAACAGAAGCCTCATTTATGCGGGGGCGACACTACCAAATCCTAAAGAAGGTTCAGGCCTTAATTGCTTTCATTTCCTGAAATACAACACTGTTGAAATGTTATCTCATTTCAGTTTTTCCAATTAAAACGTTACTGGTTTTATTTCTGTTGTTGATGCCAGTTATTGTTCAGTGCAACTGCAGAATTCTGGCCTCAGAGACATTAGTATTTCACCATCTAAATTTGAAAATTTTACCTGCGGGGTATATTATTTTAAATGTAACATACTGCGATTTGTGAATTATTCCCCTTTTTCCTTCTTTGTCCACTTAATAAATTGTATTTTTACAACTAATGAAAAAGTAAACTGTGGATCATGGCTCGAAATGCACAAGAAGTTCAACACTTGGAAGTCTGCTTTTTTCAATAGTAAAGGAAATGAGAGGCTCATTGCTTTATAAAGTCCTATATTTAACCCTCCCTAGACAGTAAAGTCAATAAAGCATTAATAAGATATATTTTTTACCTTATTTTTTAAATTTCATTTATATATATTCTTAAATGCAGAGACTTTAGTTACTGCATAGAATATTAACAATTATGAAGACTACATTTTATAATCTGCAAGTCAACCACTTGAATAACCCCTATGTAGTGTAACATATCATTAGCTTTAAAAAATGTCTCATAATTTCTATTTGGAATGTAAAACAGTAGTGTTTTGGGTTTTGTACTACTGCACCTCAACAGTAAAAATTTCTCTAAATAATTTAGAAAAGTTTATCGCTAAATACAACTTTCTAATTTAAGTATTTTAAATAAATACTTCTATTCTTCAAGACACACTATTTCGCTTCAAGTCATATGCAATTTGGTAAAGTCTCTAAGGTACTTAAATAATCTCACTATGCACCGGGATTTCAGATGATGACGTATACACTGGACCATACCGTGGATTGATTTAGCAACCTCCCTGCTATTCATGAGTATTTATAACTCACAAGGGACAGATAAAAATTTTAATCTATAATTTATTATAAATATATAAAAAATTCAAAGACAGCTTCCTGCACGCTTTCTCTATAGATTTTTAAATAAAAATCTAATTTTGTAAATTCAAGCCTAATAATAACATGCAAGTTCATATTTATTTATTTATTTATGTGTTTATTTACATAATTTTTTTCAGTCAGACAGCCACATTGTAATAGTAAAAAACACATCACAACACATCTTATTATAACACCAGGGTGACTTTATACAATGTTATTTAACCTAATCAAGCCCCAGGACAGCAATACCTTTAAGAAATGTAATAGGAAACCTACTTATTTTGTTATTTAAGATAAGATATCCCTTTTTTAACAAATGAAATCAGTAAAGCTCAGTAAAACATGGATTTTACACTAACCCTAATAAATGATGAGTGATCCAAATTCAATCCAGTAAGTGCAAAATCCAGATTTAAACCATCAGAAAAAAAATCCTATTGGAATCCCACAATTCTGTATACCAGGGATTCATTAACTGCAACAAAACAATAGTACACAAATTATTTAAAACTTATCAGCCATGATTTTTTCTTAGAGAAAACACAGCACAATTATTTAAGAAAAAGTGCAACACAGACAGTGGAACATTTGCATATTTCACGGCTGAAAATAGGGGGCTGATGTTGCCACTATCTCTACCTGGAGTAAATCATTTCTCTTACAGTGCTGATTTCCAAACAGACTGAATTTGGCATCTTATATTTGCCATTCTCAAAATCTTTGTCTTTTTAATATTGGAGTGGAAATTAATTACTTAACATAGGTTTTCTCTAAAATATTCCTTATATTTTTTTCTTTTTCTCTTTTTTTTTTTCTTCACAGGAATTATTATACAAGAAAAACACACTTGAAATTTACTTTTGTACACATGGTTTACAACGTTTCTGCTCACAGAATAAATATAAACTGGGACATAATTTTACATGATTTTCTGTACAAAGGCTAATTTTACTCTTGGCTCTTTGAGTAAGTATTGGGAATTTATACCACACAATGAGGAATTAGAGATGTAAAATCCCCATGTTAATACGTAGTTCATGATCTTGCTAGGAAGCATCAAATCTCATAAGAGAAGCTCTTCAAGCAATTTCTACTAAAAGTAATTCTCTTCTTGTTTCAGTTAATTTAGTTCACATGGAAGGTTCATTTCCACAAGGTTATAGCCCTGAAAAGAGGGGATGAGAGAGTCTGGGAACAACAACGCTTGTCGCTCTGTACCTCTTTCACACCAAGGCTACAGGAAGGATCTATATTCACTAACAGTGCAGTTAAATCACTCACAAGGAACCTAATGCGGTCAAGGATTTGTCTGAGAAAGGAGTGAAGGGGATGAACCTTAACCTAAACACCTTAACTCTGTTTATGACAATATTGCTTTTCAAGCGTATTTGAAAAGAACAGATATACTTGAAAAAACAACTTACAACAAAATCTTTGCTTATTCTCATCCCCCCAAAGGCAATTGTGCTTCTTACCATCATATTTCCTTGATATTACTTTATAGTTTTTTCTATCCTTCTTCACAAATAATTTCTACCAGTGTCGACAGGAGTTAAGACTGTGCAGTTACATTTATGGAAGGAGAGTTTTGTTTAATTTACAAGCACAGAGCTCATAGATGCTGAAAACTATACTGTAATGTATCTCAAAAAAATACTGCAAGTGGAGTTTCAGCTCTAGACTCAGGTTTAATATTATCCACACATAAAAGTCATTCTCCCCTAGCAGTAAAATTTGATGAACCAGCTTACAGCAAACAATTATTACATACAGCATTTGATAGCTATTTGGTCTCTCTTAAAACAAATAGTTAATCTTGCTGGGCTAAGAAAAAAATCACAACCTTAAATAAATGGACTTGTAAAATTCTCAGAATATTTCACCCTGGAGATTCATTTTAATACCTATTTAAAGGCCATTTTTCAGAAAGGAAAATTATCTCTGAGGTGCAAGTACAACATACTATTTATTCTGTACTTACAAATAAGTATCTCACACAAAACCACAAAAATACAAATTTTATATAAAATGTCATCTCTTTCAATGCTTTATCTTTGAATCAGAATGCCAAGTCATGATTGCAAAAACAGAGACTACAGCAGAAGAATCACTGTAAAAATAACAAATTGTTCGAATG